GAAAGAGAAAAGGAGGGGTCAGATGTGAGGTCAGAGGTTGAGGAACACACTAGCAGAGGACAATTTGTGGAGGAGCAGGAAAAAGGTATCTAAGCAAGAACAGCCTGGAGCAGTATTCCCACTAGCCTCCAATGATTCATAAGTCAGTGTCTAGTTTCAGTTTGGATCTAGCTTGACATCTGCTTAAGCTATGCACATAGAAACAAACTCATATGCCTCACTCAGGTAAGTCAAAGGAAATAGAACTGCAGCTGCCCATGCTTTTGGAATCTTGTATTTCATTAATTGCTAATATACAGTCTGTAGGATGTAGTCTCTAACACCTAGCAAGGTGGGGACCTGTGCTGCTTTGTTGTGATAAAAATGGATCTAAACAGTGAACATTGGAGAAACAGTGGGGAAGAGGGCAGCTGAATATTTTGGCTCTTGTAGCAATAAAGATACATCAGGGGTGTTCAACTCCTGGCCTGTGGGCCAGATCTGGCTCTAGGTGCCCTGGCATCTGACCCACAGGCCTCCTCATGGGTCCATTGGGAGCCTCGCAGGCTGTGGCCCTGCAGGCTAGATTGGATGCAAAGGGTGTCATGTGGCCTAATCCTGGCACACAGGGCTGAATGGGGACAGTACTGGGCCCCAAGGCCCCAATCCTAGCATGTGGAGCCAGGCAGACGTGGTACAGGGCCCTGATCCCAGCATGAGCAGCTAGGCAAAGATGAAACAGGTCTCAAATCCTAGGATGTGGGGCTGGGCAGTGGTAATCCTGGCACCCAGTGGCCAACTGAGGACATGCAGAGCCTGATCCAGACATATGGGCCTTATCCTGGTGTGCAGGATCCAATGTGGCCTGTGGACTGGTCCTGTGCCATCCATCTAGTTTGTAGGGCCAAATGATTAAGCACCAATGGTTTAGGTCATAGGGTTGAGTCAGAGCAGGTGTGGTGTAACTGAGGGTAATTAAACTTTAGATAGGCTGAGTGGTATCTTCCTACCCTTCCAAAATGCTGTAAGTCTTTAATTTTATCAAGGAATCTGAAAACCTTGCATGAAAGTTGCTAAAGAAAGAAGGGAAATTATAGAAACAGCCCGATTAATACCAGGAACAGGTTAATAAAAATGCCTAAGACTTAACAGAGCTGCCAGCTGGGAAGAAAAGGCTCCACAAGTAATAGGATGGAGGCTGGAGTCTTTTGCCCAAGTGATACACACTTTCTGTGGCCTCCAACAGTCCGCTGAAAAGACGAGAGAGAGAGAGGTCTGTGACAGGTCTTTGTCTAGGCTCAGTAGCTTCTCTCTCCAGCGGTTCTTGGAACAGGGATGAATGTAAACTATTCTATTGAGATTTCTAAGTCTTGCTATTGTGGCAGATGATATCAGTGTGAGGCATAAAGGCAAAGATGTGGGGTACAAACACAACTTTATAACAGTTTATATTGCTTTTGTAATACTATTTGTAAAACAGTCATATTAGCAAAGTGCACATTGAAGATTAGTACAATTTTGTTGCATGGTTTCAGAATGCCATGTTTTTCTACATTGTAGAGTGCATAGATATTGTATGACTTGGCATTTATGTTTAAAATGATGAGAAGAAAAACTTTAAAATAAGTTGATTTACCTGTAACTAAACTGGATACGATAAGGGGAAGGACCAGCATTTGCAGCATTCTCATCAATAGTTCTCCTGGAAAGGAAAAGTATTTGACTTCTCGGTAACTCATGTTGTATGGTCGGAGGCAAAATCCAAGGATTATACCTGAGGGAAACAGAAATATGGCTCACTCTTTGGCAGTCGTAACATCATACAAACATAAATGTTTGTGTAGCAGTTGCTGTTTTAGCATTTGCTTCTAATATAAAGTATTTATTACTGACCAGACTCCAGGATTCTTACCTACCCGGAAATCATCTTACTCCAAGAACAGGCCTATTAAGGTAAACAATGTATAACTTTTCAACGTGGGTAAGGGTTGTTTCAACATGGTTAAAGAGTAATGCCATGGGTAAGGAATTACTCATTTTGCTTGTTTGGATTTATAGAAGAGGTCACTCAGGCCTTTGCTGCCTCAGCGGACAGCTTCAAATTAAAAGTAATCATAACTTGAATCTTTTGTCCTGTGGTCTGGGGAAAGGAAGTGTCTCTCAGATAATCAGGTCACAAAGCACATTAGGAATCAAGAACTTTGCACTGGGGGGAGTTATGTGAGTTACGTCCACAGGAGGAGTAGACCATGGCCTATGTGTTGCAGACAGTTTTTTGCTATAAAAGTGTTGGGAAAAGTGATTAATTTAGAAATGAACAGGTTAAAACCCATTTCCTTACTAGATGCATTGCTGCTCCTGTGTGAGTTCCACATAGCAGCGCTAACTAGAAATGTGTTTTATATCTTTTTTTTTTTTCCCAGAAGGCTGTCTCTTTTGCTTTCTCTATACATATATTTCCATTTTTCTTTCTTAGGTCCACTAATGCGATGCAGAACCTAGAACTAATCACAAAGGGTTAAATTCAGAAAGGGGCTTTTGCATTGCCAGGTTTAGCTTTACAACATCAATTCTTGGACACCCAATAGCCCAGTGGAACACACAGGTTGCATTAGGGTACCAGCTCCCTGTCCAATCTATGGAGAGAATTAAGTACCTAAGAACGGGATCCTCAGAAGTTAGAAACCTGAAGGGGAGCTGACTGAGAGAGCCAAAAGGAAACACCCGAGTCCCATCCAATAATGGTAATTGGGTATATAACTCTAGACTAGAGAGAGATGCCTATCTCTACTGGAGATTCTCCTGGAGTGACTTAGTTAAGTCTGTTCTTTTGCATGAAGTAAGAGCAGGATAATTCTCCATCCTGTTATATCCAACGGCCTAGTAGCTAGGGCACTTGCATGGGAGGTGGGAGAGTCAGGTTGTAAGTACACACTCCAATTAATATTTATTTATATAAAGTGGAACAGCTTCTGCATACCCCACATAGTATGTTTAGGGTACTTGCATGGCACATGGAAGACTTAGGTTCAAGCTGCTGCTTGAAATCAGGCCGAGTAGAGATTTGGAAATATCTCTCACCTGCTAGGTTAGAGCCCTAACCTCTTGATTACCGGCTATACTTGGGGACCTATCTAAGTCATGATGAGACAGAGGGCTTTTCATGGTTCGCTCATGACACAGAGTCAATTTTGTGGGCATTCCGGGGCGGCCCTGCCCTTCGCCACTGATTGGCAGAGGGCACCTTCACTCAGTCTGTATCACTACTGCTTTTTCTTTGTTTGTTTCGTTCTTTTTTGGGGTTTATTTCACAAGGAAATTGCAGACAATGCTGGATTTCCTGGTGATCTCAGAAAGCATTGTTTTTTGCAGTTTCTGCAAAATTTGCAAGACCATGATTTAGGTAGATCCCTAGCTATACTCGCATGCATGAACCAGCCAGCCTGCTCCAAAAAGTTTCATCCCTCATTATCTTTTGTGGGGGGGCCTGATCCATGTTCCCAGGGTGGCTTCTTTATTGCAAGACAAAACCAAAAACATGCCTTATTTCAGAATCCTACCAGGTTCTGAAGATTGCTTCATGCAAATCATGCAAAGATTGCTTCATGCTTTCTTTTTGAGGTGGCTCTGTGCACCAATAACTTAGTATTTAAGGGACTTTAGTGAGCTATGGGGTCAGACAGCATCTTGAACCAAGAGTTTTGAGAATCTCAGTTGGATTTAGGTGCCTGAGGTAGTGGTTAAGCATCTAAGTCTGTTTGTGGAATCAGTCCAAAGGAGACTATAAATACCATGTTTTCCTGCATACCACAAGTCCCCAACTAAAACGCATGCCTTGTTTTTGGAAAGCAGAATATAGTTCTCCTGGAAACGCAGAGTCTGGCTGAGGCAGGAGGAACTTCCTGGCATGGAAAGATAGCAACAAGGGCCCTAGACCCTTGTGAGGGCAATAGCAAGACTGTTACTTCTTTACTGCAAATAGTTCTTAATATGCGTTCCTGTAAATCAGGAGTGGCCAACCTGGGGCACATGTGCCACATATGGCACAGGCAGCCTGTGTGTGTGTAGCACATGGCAGATCTGGGAAGGAATAAGCAGCACAATGGCAGATAGGGCGGTAGAAGAGAAAGAAGAGCAGTAGATCAGGCAAAGAGGTCCGGGCAGGGAACAGAAAGGAAAGCAGTGATTAGGCTGGGGGAGAAGACTGGAGGGGGGTGGTGTGGAAACACCGGGGGAGGGACCAGACTAATTTGTGGTACATCTGCCATAAAGGTTGGCCCCCACTGCTGTAAATAATGAAGTACTGCTTCCACACCACAAACCTCACTGAGAGACTACAGACTGCATGCAGCAGTTCACTCACCCTTAGCCAGTTCAGCAGCTCTTCAGACAAAAGCCACTGCCAATGGCACGAGAACGTTAACACTGGACTCTGCCACTGCTGCCTCGTAAAGAAGTGGCAGCCATTTTAGCACAGCATCTGCAGCTTCTTCTCTGCCTCTGTTCCAGCAAAGAAAAATCAGCTTCCCTGCTTAAGATATGTACTCCAATTTTGGAGGGCTGATTTTGGGGCGGGGGGCTGGGGGGGGGGAGAAGGAAAATTGTGTGGTATGCGAATAATTATGGCAAGTGGCATGAACAGATTCTTCCATTAACGTGGAATATGATTGCCTAGTTTTGTCAGCTACATGGGGCAGACTGCATTTTGCTCAGCATTTGGAGCTAGTTACCAGTCAGTCAGTAAATGTAATATAAGCTACTGGGTAACATTTGATGCACGTTGTGTTTGGGGCCCTCCATCGCAGGAACTGTATCTCCTTCTATATAATATCACATAACATAGGCTTCTCTGGAACATATTTTGGAATAACTCTCAAACACATGAAACTGGGGTGTCAGGAGGCAGAATATTCTCAGTGGAAAGTCCTCGCTCCTAGAATTTGCTTTCATTCAAGCCTGGCTACATTTGGAAAACGCTGTAAGAGGGATCTTGTTTTTATAATTGCTGGCTCCATTTCTCTCCATTTTCCAGACCTGAAGGGCACTTTATGATTGAAAACTTGTCCAGCATCTCTCCCAACTGTGCAGCTAGTCCAATAAATTTATCATAAAAAAAATCCTTTGCCTCATATATTTCCTGGACCATCATTGCTATAACAGCACTGTTATCATTCAGACTATTGTTAGCTGCTGGTGAGGGGGAAGTTTGTTGGGACTTTCCTGAACTGCTGAATCCTTGCTGTTAAAATGTTCCTTGAGGGCATGAACAGCAAGGTTTAATTTAGAGCAGCTAAAGGCCACTCTAACTGGCACCCAGCTGCCCCTGGATTCAGGATAGCATCATCTGAAGCATGGAGGGACCAAAGTGTGTAGTTTGTGGTTCTGAAGAAAACCGAGAGAAATTAGTTACTGTGATATATGTAATATATTTATCATATATTGTGTTCTTATGTACAGTGGTTATGTATACTGTATACATGATTTTGTTATAAAAATAAATGATACATAGGGTGTGTCTACACATTGCCATATGGCAATGTTGCTACAGTGCTGTGCTTTAGTACTTCCTTTTGGAAATACTAAAGCATGGCACAGTAACTTCCCCTACTGCATTTTACAGTGCATGGTTAGATTGCACTGCAATGTTGCTGTACCGGCACGCTACAATGGGGGAGTATGCCGCTATGGCAGCATAGCTGCCAATCACATGTAGACCCATGTGAGCACTACATTGCCATAGCGTGCTGTACGTCGACATAGCATGTTGCCATGTCACTGTAGGGCTACATGTAGACACACCCACAGTATTTAAAAATAAGGCAGAAAATCTTTCTCTAATTATTAAAAAAAACTTTGCCTTATGATGTTTCTTTCTTTTGCATATGTTTTAAGTTTACTGCAGTTGGCTTATAATCACTTTCTTTTTCTGTCTGGTAAACGCATTTCAGTTGCAAAAGGAATCCATGTGGATGCTTTGCGTCTGTGCTTACTGAACAGTACACTCCAATAGCTGGATAATAAGCAAGTAGAACTAGACCAATTTTAGTTGGGTCCAATCCTGCAATTAACTTCACATGCTTTAGTATCTATACCTGTAGAGCATGCCACTAAAGTTGATACGGGTCAGGGACATTGCTGCAAGATCTTGTCCTTACCCTATGTTATTATAATGGCTTGATTATTAGGTCTACTAAAGCTACAATATACAGCTTGGACACAGCAGAGAATCACGGCCTGAGTACATGTCTCCTTAAGTCAGGGGCGGGCAGTTCTTTTGGGCAGAGGGCTGCTCACTGAGTTTTGGCAAGGCATTGAGGGCCGCATGATGGGCAGCCAGGGGCAGATAAATATTAATTTTCTAAATTTTTTAGGGGTCCCATGGGCCGGATAGAATAGACTGGCGGGCTGCATCTGGCCCACGGGCTGCATTTTGCCCACCCCTGCCTTAAGTGAATATTATCTGACAGTGAGAGCAAGTTCCTTCAGCTTCATCCTTAAACTTGAAGCATCAAAGAATCCTGGAGACTTGGACTGAAATGTTGTGCACTGTCTGCATAAATACAATGGTTGTCCTGCATTACAGAGAGCAAACAAAACTCCTAAGATGAAGAAAAAAAGCATCCTGTCAGTACATTTTAGTAGCATTCCCCGTCAGCATTCTAGCTGAGCAGAGAGACAGGAGCTAGCAACATCTGAGCTCTAATCCAGACTGCTGTTGATTTGATGAATGGCTGTGGACAAGTCATTTAGCCTCCCCCTGACTCAGTTTCCCCA